GACGAGGCGGGCGGCGGGTCGGGAGTCAGGACTCGGGTTGTAGAAATTGAGTGGAGTGGAGGCGGCCAGGGTTTTTTAGTTGAGTTTGGGTTTTGGGTTGGTTTTGGATACCTAAATGGACCCAAATTTTTATGTTTATTAAATTACGGATATTCGTATCCGCAACCGAATCTTACACTTATATCCGTATTCGAATCCGTATTCGAATCCGTATCCAAAAAAAGAAACCAGATCCATGTCCGAAACCGTATCCGACGGGTTTTAAAAATGGCTTACCATATTTGCATCCGTTCGGATACTGATGTGGATCGACTCGGATAAAACCGAACCGTTTGGCAACCCTACTAGGAACCCCCAAGGAGAATTTGACAAAATACGTATTTTATCAACGTATTTTCATATGGGGTACAATTTAATTCCAAAGTATGAGATCGTTTTATTGCACCATGGTTCACTATGTCACAAACTGTTTTTTCTGATACTGTGGTGAATCCATAAATTCGAGACTGGAATATTGATATATATTGAAGATATATATCTAAAAGTTTGAAACCTGTAATTACATCGACAGTTTATTTATTATATATGAAAAATACCATCGTTAACTGTTGTTAAAAAGATTTGTGACATTAAATTTATAGAACCTAATATTACTTCAAAAGTAAATTAATTTTATCTATCTTCTGATCAATCAAAATTAACTCATAATCGAAATTAATCTAGTTTCAAGATTTATAAAAAGCCGTGTCAATTTTTTATGTTCATATGCTTTGTCAATTATTTGACTCCATCTCTCATTATTATTATTGCTAGGATTTATGCACGTGCAATGCATGTAATTAAATATTATGATTAAGTATTTTTGACTTATTTCTTTACTAAAATTTGTTTTTCGGTTCCACTTTGATTGTTTTTCTCACTTATGTTTTTAAACTTTACTATTGTGATTATTTTTTTTAATGTTTGTTTGAATGTGCTACACCAAATTTAAAATTTTTATGTAATAATTGAATTGACAAGAAATAACTATAATCTAAAGCTAATCTGAATTTTCACGTTATTTAGATCGGCATGAAACCAAGCTTGACTTAAGAAGGTATAATGTTGTAAAAGTGAAAAACACTTGAAAAGATAATGTTATAAAAGAAGGATGAATAATTAAAGCCAATAAGACAAGATGATTAATTAAAAGTGGGCTAGAATGAAACTAATTAAAGAGAATATAATTTTTGTTGCTAATCACTGATAGATTTTAGAAAAAAATCATAAAATAAAGATTAAGGCTAACTCTATTACACTTTTATATGATAAAAGTATCCACATAACCATATAAAAAATTAAAAGAATCCATGAAAATCACTTCTAAAGATATCTGATTTTACTCAAAAAATTAAGCTATTTTTAAAAATATTAAATAATTTAAATTTGTGTTGTATTTATAAAGAGCCTTGATGGAGATGCTTTTGTTTTAGCAGTTTGTTCTGAATGAGCCCTGCATATTAGCTTTAAAGTGTAATGTTTTTTCTTTATCGTGTTATATGAATGTCAGCTTGGTTTGCTTATCTATCTCTTTTTTTTTCATAAGTTGATATATTATTAACACAATTTACGATGACATGCATATCTTTCATACAAATTTGAGACAGATATAAGATGAATTTTATATTTAGTGGCCTTTAATAAGAACTTTAGTTGTAAAATATGTAACCTTCATATTTAAATATCTTAAAATTTGACAGTACTATTACATACTTATCTTTGATCGTGTTCTTAAAAATTAATCTTTCGTTGGTAGTCATATCCCCAGATAAAGATACTTGCAGAGTCGTGCCACTATATAGAGAAAAGAAAAATATCAATTTTAAATTTTTTTTACTTACACTATGATAACTAAGTATCATGTGTATATTTTTTGTCCATTATAGTGAATTTTCCCATCTTATCATGTTTATTATATCTCACAATGTAGTTGATCAATAGCTTTACTTTATTTCCTATTGCAAGATTATTTATATAAAATTTTATATTAAGTTTATGATTCCTTCAGTATTTATAGAATAAAGTATGAAAATTTATAAGTACTTACTAATTTTTCTTATACTTTTCATGAATAATGTTTTTTAATTAGGACATAATTGTTCAATATGTTCTTCAAGAAGAACTCGGTTAGTGCTTCTTTGCTCGATATGCTTTTTATCAATGTCAATTCAGGTGATTCATGAATTATTCTGAATTTTGAGTTTATTTCCTTTACTTCTCCATTTGAAATGAAAATAACTTAGTTCTTTTAAAGGATACCTCTGAACTTTCTGATAGTTTCTCCATACACAACTCCTTGTATTTTTTACTTTATAAATAAATATTATCAACATTAGAGATAAATGTTTATACATTATAATTAATTAATGCTAACCTATTATATCTTAATGTAATAATATCAAACATTTCCTCTTTTCTTTGCCAAATTTCAGCCCTTTGTGATTTAAACTTTTAAGGGTGTGTTTTACAATTTTTAAACTTTGATAGTATTTTATAAAAAATTTAAATTTTAAGTTAGGCGCTTATAATTTTCATGTTTCATGTATTGATGATAAGTTTTTAAATGTTAGAATATTTCTCGTAACTCTAAAAGTTTGAATGTATTTTTATAATTACTTAAATTTTGGGTTGTTTTTTAAAAATTTAAATTTGTAGCAATCTACTGATAATTTTAAAATTTTATATGTACCAATTACAAGTTCTAAAATTTTAGAATTTTTTAATAATTTTTTACTTTTGAGAGAGTTTTTGTAATTTTTGTACCTTTGAGGTTATTTTTTTACTAATTTTAAATTTCTATGTGCCCAATGCTAATCCCTAGAATCCATCTATGTTATTTTTAAGTTTTGAAATCTCTAAATTTTAGAATGTTTTTTTTTGTAATTTAAACATGGCTAAATAGCACTTATATACCCTATTGTTTTACTCTTGTAGTAGTTATATACCCTAAGTTACAAAACATAGCAAAAAAATATCCTAAGTTGGTAACTATTTAAATTTAGCTAACAATGTTAAAAAATACATGAAAAGATAATAATGTCCTTCCTTAAGAATT